TTTTTTACACTTCTTAGTATATCTGGCATGGTGTTTTTATTATATTAAAATGCATATTTGCTGCTAAAATGGCTTTTTAAATGACAGAGAATGTAACAAAAAGTAAATAATTATTTCTGTAAATAGGAAGAGTGACCAGAACTGTGTCGAGAGCATCTACATGTAGTGGGAGCTATAATGAAATGTGCAAGAGGGGGTTGCACAAAATCTGATTTTGCAAATGTCATCAAAGTGTTTTCTCAAATTCTTCCCCCTTCCCCTCCCCTTTCTTTTTACTTTCTTTAACTTGAAGTAGCATTTGTAGCTTCTCCCCAGTAGTAAAAGTGAGACTTCTTGCCAAGCATCATTTAACGCGCAATCTTCAAAATGCATCTTGACGCCCATCTTGCAGGGGTCATCAGATCCCAGCAGTCTTTCCTGCCCAAGTGCAGGGGCACTGGACCCGATGATCTGTAACGTCGCTTCCAGCCCCTGACAACTATAAAAATATGAAACATATATGCCATGTCCACATGAGCAGGGGCATGTTTGCAGCAGCACAAATAGTAGCTGCACAAATTTGTGCCGCTACTTTGTGTTGCACCGCATGCCCCTGCTCATGCAGTTTGCAGCAGAACACAGCTGCAGGCGGGGCTGGCTGGGGCCAGGGTGCCTCAGTGCAGGTCCTGGCAGATGGCAGCCCTCATACTGAGGCATGCTGTGCCCCAGTCAACCAGGGAGTGACATTTGGAGATGGGGGAGCAGGCAATAAAGGGCTGCCTGCTCCTCTATCTCTGTGTGCTGTGGAGCTCCTGTACTGAGGTATGTGGAGACAAGGGAGCAGCCAGCCTAGGAGTGCCTGCTCTCCTGTCTCAAGACACAGAGCATCCCAACCAGGGAGACGGCTGGGGCGCAGGGTGCCTCAGTGTGGGAACTTCGAGCGTAGAGACAGGAGAGTCTCTGTCCACTGCTTGCTCCCTGATCTCTTCCTTTGTCCCAGCTTATTTTGTTGTGCTCTACCCTGCTTTTTTCTCATGGAAGCAAATCCCAGTAGCAAATTTTCCCCCAGCACTGAAAACTAGCAGTTTAATGTGCAACATACACACAAACTGCATGTGCCTGCTCATCTGGATCTGGTCATATAGTTCATTTCCACAGCATCGTGTTTGCTTTGAAGCTATTTTGAATTAAGGGCCAGGGCCTAATTCTAAATTGAGGGAAGGAGAGTTTACATTAATTTAGCTGTGTAAATTATATGTATTCAGTTAAAGATTTCTTTGTACTACTAGGCTAGTGTTATCAGTGCAAATGGCAAGACACCCCTACAAATGTTTGCCAAATTTTTGTGGGTATTTTGCTTAAATAGAGACAGATAAGGTATAAGGGTTTTTTAAAGAAAAAAAATCTAAGATGAATGGACTTTTCATTCCATCCAGGAAGAGCGCACACCAACTGCTGAAACTTCCTTAGCCTGACGAAGGGTTTTTGAACCTGAAAGCTTGCTTAATAAGTTTTCTCCAACTATTTGGGTTGGTCTAATAAAAGATATCAAATTCACCCAAGGAACCTTGTCTGCCTATGTCCTTAGACCAACACTGCTACAACCTAAACCCCTGCAAGATGAGTGCTAAGCATTTGAGAGAATTAGTCATGGTGATTCATTAAAAGAAAATCACTGGGTCTCAATGTAGGTGCAAACAAATTTGGCAAGCAAAGCAAATACTTTGGAGAACTGTATAAGCTTAAAATGCCCTTTTAATTATTTAATTTACCACAGAGCATAATACAGATCAGTGCAAAAAGCAGAGATATTGCTAATGTCTGTACAACCACCTGATGCATGTATGACATATTGAATTTGTCTGTGAATGGCATCTTATAATGCAACACACAAATAAACAATCTAACCTTTTTTCTACTCAAAATTATAGAAAGTTTACCTGGGCTTTTATGTGACATGTTTTAGATTAATTCACTAATAACAAGCTTATTGTTTCAGGAAAAAATGAGGTAGCTTGTTTCCAGAGTTTTGTACACTTGGTGGGAGCACTGCTAGAAAATAACTTCCTATTGTTGCCAGCAGAAAAGTTGCTCCAAACCTGCACTTTGCCTATCTTGTAACCTGTATGTTCATGTGCATCTGCTTTCTGATTGGTGATAAGGTTTGTGCTTCTGAATCATGAATGCTGCAGTTAGAAATGGTGGTAAACAGGTTTGTATTTAATTATAATTATGAAACTATTTATATAATAAAATTAAATGTTAAAGAGATAGTGGTAAACAGGGATATGGTACCCAGCTTGCTATAAAAGGAGTCAATGATGATGTGTCTAATTAACTTGAAAAGAGCAGAAGCAGGCCTATGATTTCAGAGGGACATAACAATCCCATCTATGATTTACCTTCAACTGTGTCAAGTAAAGCACAGAAAAGAATGCCAGACAGAGAGAGAAATCATTTAGCTTGTCCTTTCATTTGGAGTATGGAGGACAAGTATCTGGGCTGAATTTCTGTCCATCTAAAATGTAAAGGTCTATACTTCTGTTGACACAGCAGATTTGAAGTAAATCTAAAACACTTTGTCTCTTTCTTAAAAAGTGCTTTGATATGGATAATAAGCTAATGCAAGTTTGTTGGAGAGACTAAGGGCTTGTCTGTCTGGGGAAATTAGTGCATAGTAAATGAGCATATTAATTCACAGTGCACTAGCTACACCAGCTCCCCAGGTGGGTCCTCCAGGGCTAAGTACAGACAGTTAAAAAGCCCAAGGCTGAATCGATTTGGTCTTTGCAGGTTAGCCTAAACTGCGGAGATTAAATTGAGAAACAACTGGACACACATTTACTTTTGATTCAGGAAATGCAGCCACATGCCTGTAGCCACATGGCTCAGGCCAGAAGCTAGGGAGTCCTGGTGCATGGCTTTCTGTCATATAGCCAGCATGGGCTGTGTGTTCACTTCCTCTTCCTGATACCCCTGAGATCTCTGGGATTTGCAGTCCAGAATCACAGCAATGATGATGTATCTAACTTGAAAAGAGCAGAAGCAGGCCTATGATTTCAGATAGACATAACAGTCCCATCTATAATTTACCTTCAGGGTTGCTCATCACTTCCTCTTCCTGCTTCCAGGTGCCTCTGGGATTTGTAGTCCACAGTTACAGCCCACAGTATCTTTCAGTAAGGTTAGCGGTGTAGAGCAGTTGTGTACTCAGGAGAAGATGGGTTTAATCCTCCTCCCTAGCCCCAGACCCCAGCCAGGGTTTGCCTGTGGGGGCAGTCCCTCCCTCTCACCACCCATCTCTTCTCTGCTGGAGCAGACAGCACATTCCAGCCCAGGGCTGCAAAGCATCTGGGATGCTGGAGGACTCTGATTTAACTTAAGCCAGGAAGGGATCTTGGACAGACGTTTCATAAATTGGTTGGATCCAAATCAGTTAAACCTGGTTGAATGTCGTATCAGACTTATCTTAAATCAGTTTCGGCTATGTTGAAACTGGTTTGTGTGCACTGAACTTCCATTACAGGTTTAAACCAGTTTCTGATCACTTAAGCCAGTTTATGTGTAACTTCTGTTGAACACCTAGCTCAGGTGTTCAACATGTGTTCTTAGTGTCACAAACTTATTTCACTCTGCAGCATTGCTCTCAAATATGCTACTGCACAAATGTTAACCTTCTCATTGGGAAAGTCTAATTGCATTTGGGTAGTAGTGGGGTGGATGCAAGTGACAGTACCATTCAGTCCACTTCGTCCATCTCAAAGATGCACCAACACTGCTTTTGGTTGAAAACAAAGGGGTGGCAGTGAGTGCATGGCAGGGTGACATGTTTAGGGGTCCTGCTGGTGGGCATGGTAAGTTTATCTTCTAGACTGCCAAACATTTCTCAAATAGAATATTATGTGAAATTGCTAGTATCTTGTAAATTCCTATCCCACCTTCCCAAGGACAAAAACATTCTATAGAAAAGTTTAATATAAGAGTCTGCTATAAGTCCTGTGTGTGTGTGTGAGTGCGCGCGTATGTGTGTATACACATGCAGGCGCTATGTACATTTGGGGTTTTCTAACTCCTTCATTCTGATGTTCACTCATTCATCACAAGTACATATATCTGTTTCTGTGCTCTCCCTGGGAATGATTCACTGTGTCTACACTGTTGCTAAGGCCCAGCAATTTCCTGAACAATGTCAGACTAAGGCAGAAGCCTTGGGAGGACCTATGAAGTGAGGTCTGGGACAGATACAGCAATGAATTAGACGAAATAACAGATTATTTTGAGACTGAAGCACTTAGGAGGAAGGTTATAGACTGGAGACTGAGGGGAAGACAAAAGTCTGTCTCCTAGGGTCTGTGTCTGAGCAAGGGTTTGGACTGAAAGGAAGAGAAACTGAGAGGACAAATATTTGGTGGAACCAAATCCAAATTTATTCTGAAACCACCAAGGCACCAGAAGAGGGGTATGACTTGTGACAGTGTAAAGAAGCTGAGCTAGGGCCTTGTTACATGGTAATTTGGGGTAGCTCCTGGAGCATTTAAAACCTGGATTAACACCTGATACTGAACCTCAAAGCCAGGTGGGATGTCCCAGGAACAGGAGGGGGAAACAGAGGAGCCCCTGGGGGCAGGGGGGATGCCCCAAATGGGGGTGGGGATTCTTCCTTTTCAGTCCTCCAGGCCCCTGGTAGCCTGAAGTGTGACTGCTCCAACCAAACTGAAGCTAGCACTAAAACTGATCAATATTTGTGTGGCTTACAGTGTAAAGCGTAACAAGGCCCTTCTTTACCAAGGCCTGAGCCACTCTGGTAATTGCACACATTGCCTGAAAATTATTTATGACCTAACATTTCACAGGAACAAAAGTTTCAACTTTAAACTTCTGAGCAAAAATCATTAATATTCAGGAGCTCCGCTTTTGTTTAATAAATTAGCATAATTTGTGTTGTACATAAACAAATAAAACAGAATAACTTTAACCTCTGGATTAATCTCTCTTCAAATATCTTTTGTTTTAACCATCAGGAAGTTCTGTTAGCAAGCTCAGCAAAGAACCACTGCGAATCGTTTATGAGACTGTGGAAGAATCCACAGATTGGATCTATGGCTTTATTTCTTTTCTGACTGACATCATATGGAATGATGATGAAGACAGTGATGAAGGTATTTGTGATATGCAGATTTGTGTAACTGCTCTAACTGCTGCTTTACATGGATTATGTTGATTTATTCAATTTTTAAACTCATAGTCAAAAATATAGGACAAAACAAAAACTGAACTCTCTTGCTAATACAGCACCAACCATCTACAACAATCAGTAAATTGGTCTCTCTGTTAGCTTTCATCTTGTATTTAATGTCTTATTACAGAGATGGCAGAATTAAATATTACCATTAGTGTGTCTCGACATAAAGAATGCTAATTTATAAAAGACTTCAAAGCCACAATAGAAACACATACCAGAATATTGTTTCAGAGAATGGCAGCAGCTATTAGAGTACAACATTTCTCTTGAGTCTAAGTATGGAAGCATCTAAAGAACAGAGTTAAAATATGTAAGCAATACAGGAGACATCTTAGAACCCTTTTTGAGGAGGGGGCTATTAGCTCTTTAATATAGCACTTAAATAGGACGGAAGAGGAACTTAGTTTGGTTTGTTGAAAATGATGGTTTTGCCATTTTGCTAGCATGTATCAAGTGACGGAGTCACCAAGTAAGCAAAACCAAACATCCAGCAGTTAAAGTCTATTTTTACAGTTGTAAAAGAACCATGTTTTTTCATAGTCAATTTTCAGCATAAGTGTGTGTAATAGTGGTGAATAGCTACTTCATGTTATATTTATCATTTTGTATGCTTACTTGAAATCAAGCACAATGATCATAGCACTGATGTTTTCATTTTGTATCCATAGGCTTCATATGGCATTCCACCACAACCAAAAAAGTTAAGACCTAACATGAATTGAAACTGAATTGTTCACTTACTTTATTCATTATCCAGAAGTAGCTCCTGTTTTCTACCACTGCTTATAAATATATTTAGTGCTGTTCTTTAGATCCTTCCCTCTTTACAGATTTCATGGGCTTTCCTATTACCATTAAATATAGATACTAACGCATATATCAATATGTTTGCCTTTGACTTGGGGACTCTATTCTGAGATGTGATTTACAACCAGTATAAAGCCAATTGCCACTAAGAAACAAAAAGGACATAATGTTGCTCCTTTGCTTAACTAATGAATTTTTTCACTCTGTTTTTTTTCACAGGAGGCTTGGGAGATGCTCAGCCATCTCAGCTTCCATGTTCTCAGACAGAAGCATAGTCAGCACCTCTTAAGAGTTGCAAGAGTGACTCTGCATCTCACCTAAGCTTTTAAAATGTCTTGTGTATGGATCAATTCTGGTGTGAGCAACTTCCATCCCATAGGACTTCTATACACTCTAGCTAAGAGTAGTGCTGAACTCTTCTTTGCAGTGCTTAACAGCATTTCATATGTAGAGCTAAGGCATCATCAGCCCTATGGTTGATTGTTTCTGCTCACAGTGAAGTCAATAGAACTTTTGCTGTTGACTTCACTGAAAGTATGAAAGTATTATTAGGCTTCTTTTCCTTCTGAATGTTGCAAGTGTTGATTTGAAATTAAAAACCTGACCAATTCTTTGTGGCCAATTAAAATGGAATCCTTGTGCCCATTTTTAATATGGTAATAAGTGTACAACTAAAGTTTGTGTCAGTACATGTTTGTGTGTTTTGAATAACACTGTAAAGAACATTTTGGAAGTTTTGTTTTGGTAACATTTAAAGTTTTCATAGTATCCTCTTGAAAGTCCACACAGAAGCAGAAATGCATAAGCCCAAAATCTCAGAAAAGGGCTCTAGTTTTTCAGTATGTTACAAATATAAAGTTTGAATGCATATGAAAATCAAAATAAATCTGCATGGGAAAAGATATTGTCAGTGCTTTATTATGTCACCTGTTATCTGAGTATAATTTTTTCTGTCTTGGTTTAGGTGAAGTGGAACCACCATTGAAAAGAAAAGGTGTGTTATTTGCATGTTTATAATGGATAAGTGTTTTAATATATTATGTACATGTTAGGAAGAAATTACTAAGCTTATTCAACTGCTTCTGTGTCGGATAATGTGTCATTCAATTAATAGTGATTGGTGCATTTAAATCAAAATTATTTAATGGACAAATTAAAATAAGTTTGCAGCATTTCTTGTTGCTGTGGGGAGAAGTTTTAATTGTTTCATTATTATCCACAAATCTGAAAAATCTGAATAAACTGACAGCATTACTACAGTATCATAATATATGTGTGTGTGTGTGTGTGTGTGTATATACATACAGGAAACCCTCACTATTCGAGAGTTCGGCATTCGCTGTTTCAAATATTTGTGAATGCCGAACCCACTTCTTAAATACACTTAAAGGAGGTTCTCGGGAACTCCGTGCTTTCCGCTGCTGGGCTCCCGCCACTTCTGCTGGGCTCCTGCCACTGCTGCCGCGCTCCCACTATCACCAGAGCAGCTGTGCCCTCCCCACAGCTGCCAGGGGCACTGAGTTCATGAACACAGACGGCATTCATGAACGCAGTGCCTTATTCGCGGATTTCCCTGTTCACAGGGGATACAAGAATGTATCCCCTGCGAATGGCGTGGGTCGCCTGTATATATAATATCTTCCATATCTGTTTATGTAAGTCTGATTAATGTCAGCTTGAGTTACATACTCATCTCAGAAGAATAGACCTACCTTAAGAAGCAGCTATTGTATAAAAATATTCATCATTTGCCTTGTGCTATGTTAGAAGCCTAAAGCCTCTATTTCTTTTTTAAAAAATGATTAAGTTGGTATGAGATTTTTATAGAGAACAAGGATGAAACATATAGAATTGTAATATAAATCTCCCTAAACATGAATATTGGCATTCAGGAGCTTAAAACTTAAATTCAGCTTCTTTTACAAAGAATGGAAGACTTGGGATACTGGTATTAGTCATTTTAGGTTTCTAGTGCATTGTTCCTAGCTGAGCACACATTAATGTTAATAGCAAAAGTTTTCATCTTCTGACTACATGATAAGCAGAGGTGTAGTGCACTCTTTTAGTGCCCAGGGTGGTGGTGGGGTATGCCCAACCACTTTATAAGTCAGGAGGGGAAGGGAAGTCTTACTTGCCTGAGGTCTCTGTATACTGAAGGCAGCTGATGCTTTTGCTGCTATTGTTGACACTGCCATGGTTGATATGGTAGCAAAGTCATCTCAGGCAGCAGCAGTCCCATGGTACAGGCTCCCTGGGAGCCGTGCCTCATGCTCCATTTGCTTCCCCATCCCCCAATATGCTGTTGGGTACAGCAGTGTTTCCCAACCTTTTCCAGCCCAAGGCACACTTACATTAATAATTTTTTTCTGCAGCACACCAGTTAAGACATTCCTCATCCTCATACCTATTGTATCTCATTCCCATGGCAAAATTCCACGGCACACCTGTTAGTTTCTGACAGCACACTTATGTGCCGCAGCACACTGGTTGGGAAACACTGGGATACTGGGCTACTTCTGCTGTGGCAGAGACTCCTCATGGTGGAAGCACTGTTCTGCTCACCCCACTTGCCTACCACTCCAGAGATACATTTCTGGGAACAGTTCAAGGCTGCCCATGCCATGCCATGCCATGTCAAATTCTTCTGGGGGGCAGTGATTCTTGTACCCCCCCATAGTCAGCTTCCAGGGCTGATGCCCTACTTTTCCCCTTAACCCCCAGTTACATTACTAGAGATAGAAATTTAGTATCGCCATGTTCCTAATAGACAAATGTCCATATTACAGAAATGTAGGGCCAGGTTTCCTTAAGTTAATTGGAACAACCCTCTCTTCCCCGCAGTGAACGTAGTTTTTTCAGCAGTCTCAGCAGAGAAGGCAAGGACTGAATGGGCTTGGAGAACAGGACTTTCCACTCATATGTAAAGGTGGCCCCTTCATGTCAAAACAAAGGCAAAGTAATAGGCAATGTGGGGAAATTTATTTCCATATGATTTGTTAGTAGGATTTTCAAAAGTGCTGTGTAGTGGCCTTATTCTTCTCCTATTACTTCCATTGTTGATTTTCAAAGAATGCAAATTAGGCTTTGACACGCATCTTCACTTTATCCTTCAGCATATATTGCCCATATATCACTGCAGCATACAGAAGCCAATGTTTGGGTTCTGTTGCAACAAACAGAACTCATAGATGAAAATGAATGAAGATGAATATAAGCAAGACAGAGCCTAGGCCAGTGGGCAAAAGAAAGCATTTTGAAGAATTTGTAGTGAATATGTGCAGCTTGAATCAGTGCAGTCCATACTTTGATGTGCTGCTGAACAATTAACTTATGCTAAGGGCTGATTCCCCACACAATGTATGGTGAAAATTTGATTTGTAGAAGGCAGCAAATTAAGCATAGAAGTGCCTAAACTAGCCTATAGCTCATTAGGTCTGAGGGGACAAACTCCATCCCTCTCAAGTGTCCAATTCTGAGCTGCAGGGGAGATGGCTCATTCCTGTTAGCATTCACAGCTGTGAGCGTTTCTGAAGTTAGGTCCCAAACCAGGTCAAGTCTTTCTCACCTCATCCCTCCCCCCCTCGCTCTGATAGTACCAAATTAGTTGTGGTTAGAACAGCCACTTAGGACATAGGGGAGACAAATTGAAAGCCTTCTTTCTCTGCCTTTTTTGGAGCAGGAATTTGAAGCAATGCTACCTACCTCCCAGGCAATTGCTGTTACCACTGGGCTATTGAAGGGATACTTTGTCCTCAAGAGCCTCGCTGCTTGCTATCTAAAAGAGTGCTTAAAGCATGAGAGAAAAAGGACACGGTCAGCAACTCTGCTTCCTGGGCTCAGTTAAACTTCCTGGGTTCAATGAAAGGGAAGATCATCTCTGCACCAGATAGAGCTTTCTTGAGGGGTGCTCTGAGATTGTAGAACTGACTTACAGGATATGTAAACACCATACCTGATCTACGATTGTGCATGTTTATGCCATGCGATCCGTGAGTACACACATTCACTGGTGCCAGGAGCCAGGCCAGGAGCCTGATCTAAATTAAGTTTGGATTGGGGGAGACTAGTACATCTTGGGGGGGGAGGGGGGTATGGGATTGGGGAAGGCTGGCAGATCTTTTGGGGAGAAGGGGCATTTTTTGCCTGATCTAACCACCCTAAACATCTGTATAGATCAGCACTTAGATTGACCTAACACTGGCTAGGTTGATCTAAGTAGAACATCTGCACAAACCCATAGGGGCTAAGTTTTCTCACAGACCTCATGATCTTCCACTCTGAATATAAGGTGAATTCTTAAACTGTGCCTTCTCTAAGTACATAGATGGATCCAGAAATTTGAAAAGCAGGGTATGGAAATAGCAACTAGAGTTGCTGGGATAGCTGCTTTCAGCCTCCCTTGACACCAGGGCAGTCAGATCATGCTGCAGGAGCAGCAGAAAAGCCAGGGACCTTTTTAATAACAGTCCCCAGGTACTGCTTCTGTGGTTTGGACTCCTCAGGGGACCCAATCATTCAAGTCTACCTGGAACCAGAGCCACCAAGCTATGCTATAGAACTATATCACACGGGGTGTGACTGTGTGACCTTCTGGATCTACCCTTGCTAATTTAAGCATGGTTTAGCATATATAGCTAAAAAAAGAATGCTTTCCTTCCTCAAAAAACAAAACAAAAACAACCCCCCTACCCCCAAAACCTTGTACACAAAATTCTCCCTTGAAGAAAAAAATTAAAGAGACAATGAACTACACATGACAGACGATAGGCCCAGGATTTAAGCAAATTAAGTGGTACTTTGGTGCCAAAATTCCACTTGAGTCTAAGGTTACAGTCATAAAAATCCCTGCTCAGTTGCCACCTCCATCCAGCTGTATGGACATCACAGTTTGGACTTAAAATTCTCTAGGGGCCTGGATGTTCTGCTTTTGGGTACTCTCCTAAATCAGAGAATTTCTGGATTCTTGTCCTAGGATGGTTTCTTTATTTTATCCAAGGATCAGTTTACATCACATACACCAATCCTGGAACCAAAGACAAAAATGCAGGACTTCCTGCTCTCATGGGCATGTTATTGCCACTGCACCAAAGATTCATAGTTCTTAATATGTTCAGTGCATTTTGAAATCCTGCTGCAGAAAGTAATCTACTCCTGTAGACTAGTTATCTAGGCCTATAGACCCATGACTAGCTCATTCTCATAGGAGGTGGGAACTGAGAGTTTGAATCCCGTACAGACAAAAAGAAAGACTTAAATCAGGGTTTCCCATCCTAGAAGAGACCAGCTATCATAAAATGCGGGGCACTACAGTCCGTAAAGCTGTTAGAACTGTATTTGAGAAGAAAAGTGACCTCCTCATTTATTTGGAGGGGGGAGGGATGTAATCACCTTTCTTCAGGAAACAGTCCCAGGCCTCGGAGCTTAAAGGGCTGGAAATGCTTTCCTGAAACCCTGAATGAGCCATTGTAGGGGGAAAAGAAAACATCATACTTAGTGTTCTCATAAGCGTTTCCTATCGGCTAGCTCCAGTGTGCTGACATTTTGGGCAGCTCCCTGTTCAGTATGCTGTTTGTTGGGAATCCTAGGCTGAGGTTCCTTACTTTTCCCAGGCACTGAACCTACATGTCTGCATACTAGCTTTGGATTCCACTCTGGGGGCACCAGTCTCCTAAGACTTAGGAACTTCAATGCTGAACATTCAGGAGCCTCCTTTATTGAGCCTAAGGTTACAGTGGATCCATCTCACAGAAGCTATGTCACAGTACCTATGGTGATAACGGATATAAAATCTGAGCAGAACAGAGTTCTTCATTATTTGCAAAATTCACAACAGAAGAATTCTGTGAGTAAGTAGCGGGCTTCAGGTTTTGGATTTATCAGCCAGCCTATTTTCTGAGTGCTAAAAAATTGCATAAAATCTTCACTACCATGGAAATACCAAGATAAAAAAAAACATAACACAACTTAGTTGATGCCACAATACAATTGTTTACTGAGAAGTTCTTCAAGGGCCTGGTAAGGATATCATGGCAATGATTAAAAGGGGAGGGGGTGTGGAGAAAAGAAGAGGAGTAACGATAATTATGAGCCTGAAGAAAGCAAAGATAACCTTGCTAGGGATGCAAATTGCAGGCAAAGATAATAGGGATACAAATAATGACAGTGAGGGTGGCACATGTGACAGGGCTAATATCAGTGTTAGTAGCCACTAGAAAGGATAAAAGCGCTTATCACAGTACCTTCTTTACCACAATTAATTCCTTCATCCCCAGCATTATCACTCATATTTATCTTTAATAATAGGAAAAGACTCAATGTTTTATATTGGGCCAGAATAAAAAATGTAATCTTCAGTATACATGGTGAAAAATATTCTGTAAAAGACTTTGCAGTATTTAACAATGTGTACTCAATGCATGCTAAAATTGCTCAGCATTTTCATGAAAGCTATTTAAAAGTATAATAATAGTGTCTTAGATGCTTAGTATGTTTTAGCTTTCATTTTTCTAGATCAATGGTTACAGTTGATAATGTTGTTTTTTCTTCTGGACTAGTTAAACCTTTACAGACAAATCCATTTATTTGACAGCTGTATTTTTTTCTGCTTTTTTGCTAAAATTTCTAGCTATAAAAAGAGAAACTATTCATCATCTCTTTATGCCTGTGCTTCTGCAGCTTGAAACTGGTATTGCTGTCTTTTTATACAAAGATAATTGTTGATAGGGGCAAAATGAGATGGATAATCTTTTGGAATGTGCAGTAGAAAAAAAATGAAAAAAAGAAGAATGCTGAAAATAACATATTATTAGACACAAGTCCCAACCAAAAGTTCAGAAGTTTTATACTTTATAGTAGTAGTCCAAACATAATAACTAGTAATGTCATTACTACATTGTACAGAAACTTCTACAGTATAGAATAAAATGGTGGAATTAAAAGCATTATTTTAAAGTTAACTGTTTGCAAAGTATATTTAGTTGCATTTTGCACAATTAATATTTTTAAAAAATGGACCAGTAATATTTCAGTGACGTTGTAGCTGTGATGGTGCAGGAAATGTGAGAGAGGCAGAGATTTTTTGGGTGACATCTTTTATTTCACCAACTGTGTAGTTGGGATAAAGTTAGACAAGCTTTCTTCAAGTTTAAATATAGAAGTCATTCTAAACCATTAGATGTGCTTCAAAGGCTATGGAAATCATGGTATTTTATCAGGCTTTATTTTACATTTCAAACTTGTTCTAATTTTTCATTTTTACCTTAATTTTCTCCCTCCCTTTTTAGGTGAAATCCACCCTCCAACCAGAAAGAAAGGTAAGTGAGGCTTTAAAAATAATTATAGTTTAATAAGAAACAAAAAAGGTAAAAAAGAGCTGTGTAAACAATAATGCGTCACCTTGCAGAGAGTGCAGGGCCATGGCTGAATATTTTTTATCAGGTTTTTACTGGTATAACAAAGAATAAACAGAGCAAATCTGAGGTCTCTGGGAAAGATGACATTTTTATACCATTTCTAACCACACTTGGGAGCACCATAATGAAAGACACTAGCCCTGCTCTTGACATGGCACACTCTTCTCCCCTCCCCTCCCTTGCAAAAATGTAGCCATCCATGGTGTAGTGCATGGGAAGTTCTACAAGTTGTTTGTCTTGAATGTGGCTTTTGACACATGATTAGCACTGCTTACTACCTTACACATTTTTGAGAAGAATGTGTGTGGAGGTGTGTTTGGAGCAGATGTCTGTACCTCACAGTGCCCCCCCCTCCTTGCAGTTAGGAGGCAGAGCAGACATCTCTAGAGAGGCACCTGTACCAGATGATAGAAGCTACATCTGTACTTAGATAAGGAGAAACATGAAAGTAGGCGATGTCATATGAGACCTGTTCTTATGCAGGCACTAAACTTGCATTCTCCACCTATTTAAGCAAATGCCTCTCAGTATATTAGAGTATTTGACTTGTGGGTAGTAAATTAG